ATTCAGTAAATATTTATTATGGGTCTTGTTCTGGTGGGAGCTTCACCTCAGTCCCTGGCATCCGAATACCCAAAAAGTCTGGGATGTTATGGTGGAAGTTCCACCCCAAACCCCCTCCCCTCTCTCTCTCCAAAGCCAGCAGCATCTCAGAAAGCCAGCCAAATGATGACCCCTCCCCCAGAGATGCTCGAGACCCTTCTTACAGGGTATTTAAAACTGTCCCCCCAGGAAATGGTTTTCTGGTCTCTCTTTCCCATCTTCTGGGGGGGGGCTGGAAAAATCATCCCAGAATGTTGTATCCATTAAATGTGGGTTTTGCTGAGTGTTATTGGCACAAGCCTTTAATCCCAGCACTTGGGAGGCAGAGGCAGGTGGATCTCTGTGAGTTTGAGACCAGCCTGGTCTACAGAGTGAGTTCCAGGACAGCCTCCAAAACAATACAGAGAAACCCTGCCTCGAAAAAACCAAAAAACAAACAAACAAACAAGCAAAACAAAACAAAACAAAAAAACGTGGGTTTTTAAATTTATTTTTCATTTTACATGCCAACTCCAGTTCTCCCTCCGTCCCCTTCTCCTGTCCCCCACTCCCCATCCACTCTTCAGAAGGGGTAAAGCCTTCCTTGGGGAGTCAACAAAGTTTGGCATACAAAGTTGAGGCAGAACCAAGCCCCTCCCGCTGCATCAATGCTGAGCAAGGTATCCCATCAAAGGGATGTGGGCTTTTTTTTAATTCGGTTTAATTTGGTCTAATTTAATTGATTCATCAAGCAGAAAGGCTTATTGGAGTTCAGAAATTTTTCAGGTCTACTCTTGGGACCATTCATAGGAGTAAATGCAAAGTTTCCCTTTAACCCCAGCACTTGGGAGGCAGAGGCAGACAGATCTCTGTGCATTTGAGGCCAGCCTGGTTTACAGAGTGAGTTGCAGGACAGCCAGGGCTACACAGAGAAACCCTGTCTCAAAAGCCAAAAACCAAAAAAAAAAAAAAAAAAAAAAAAAAAAGTAAAGCAAAGCAAAGCAAAAGCCAAGTTTCTCCTCACTCAATCTGTCAGAGGTTAACTTGGGCCTTTTTTAGGGTTTGACTTCAGGTTGTTAGAGATGAGCCATCTGTTCATGCTAGAAGGTGACCCTGTGACTGCTGGCATGCATTATGATCATGGTATTTTTCCCCAATGCCAAGGATAAGCCTCTGACACAGCAATCCTGTAATCCGACACGGCTCTCTCTGTAGAAAGAATGCTTTCCAGGCAGAACCAAACCCAGCACAGGGTGGGAATCTGAGCTCCCTTTGGATATTTTGGTTATAAAACCATGCAACCTAGCACAGCAGGCTGAAGTTCTGCCCCATGAGCTCAAGTCCCAGAACAACTGATGACACTCACTAGGCGGGAAGTCAGAGAGAAGCAGGCATCTGTCATATAGGAATTACCGGAACTGGCTTCAGTCTCGTGGAGACCTTAAGCTTGGACTTGTGTTTTTCTTTCTCACCAACACACACAATTCAGGCTGAGTCTAATTAATTAGAATAAAGTCCCATTTTTCCTCATGAGGGCAACTTCAATATCTTAACTACCATGCATGAGATTATTTCCAGAAAAACCTTAGTAAGATGCCCCTCCTCCCATCTTGCTTGATTTACCTATCAATTAAGTCATCACTATGCATTGGTATATGATGGAGGCCTGAGCTGTGATTTCCCTAATTGGTTTAAACACACCCAAAGTAATAATAGCTTTCATGGAACTTATTCTGTGTGATACATGTATGTATGTCCTGGTGGATGTGAATATGTTCACATGTGTGAAGACCAGAGGTTAACCTCAGGTGCTGTTCCTGAGGACTGAAAAAACACCACATCCACAAGCAACTTGAGGAGAAGAGGGTTGTTTGTTTGTTTGTTTGTTTGAGTTTATAGTTGCAAATCACTGCCCATCATCGAGGGAAGTCAGACAGGAACTCAAAACAGGGCAGGAACCTGGAGGCAGCAGCTCATGCAGAAGCCATGGAGAAGTACTGCTTACTAGCTTGCTCAGCCTGCTTTCTTACATAGCCCAAGATCATCTGCTCAGGGACAGCACCACCCACAATTGGCTGGGCCCTCCCATATCAATCCCTAATTAAGACAATGCACCAAAGACTTGTCTACAGAGAAATTTGATGAAGGCATTTTCTTAATTGAGAATCCTTCCCAAATCACTCTAGCTTATATAAAATTGACATAAAACTACTCAGGAACGAACTGTTGTCTATCTTGTTTGTTTGTTTTTAATTTATCTATCTAGTATGTATGTCTGCATGCATGTCTATACAGTATGTGCAAGTCTGGTGCCCACAGAGGCTAGAAAAGGGTGTTGGTCCCCTGAAGTTACAGATAGAATCATTATGTAGATGCTTACAATTGAACCCTGGTTCTGTGGAAGATTACTCAGTCAGCTGACCCTTGGGCTATCTCTACAGACACCCCCCAATACCTTTTTGTTTTGATTTGATTTGTTTTAATGACAGTGTCTCACTGGGACATGGAACTCACCAATTAAGTCAAGCTGATTGGCCAGAAAAATGCAAGGATCCTGCATCTCTGCCTCCTTTTTTTTTTTTTTTTTTTTTGGTTTTACGAGACAGGGTTTCTCTGTATTGTTTTGGAGGCTATCGGTCCAGCCTGGCCTCGAAGTCACAGAGATCCCCCTGCCTCTGCCTCCCGAGTGCTGGGTTTAAAGGCGTGCACCACCACCATCCGGCCTATCTCTGCCTCCTTACATGCTGGGATTACAGGCATAGTCCACCACGTTGGGCGTTTTATGCGTGTTCTGGAGAGTAAACTCTGATTCTCATGCCACCACTACACCCAGCTTTTAAAACATCTTCTGGTACTGTAATGATGATAATGGAAGTATCACCCAGATGTGGATGACGAAGAGACACCTGGAGCCAATCTTTCTGTGACATTGTCTGCCTTTGGCAAAGGGACTCACTGCGTACTTATCTAGAACATGTGCTGTTAGCACCATCACAATTTGCATTTGCAGGCATAATTACTGAGACTTGATTCTAACAGGGTATGAAATCAGAGTCCTAAGAGTCTTCCCTACCATCTAATCTGTGTGTAATCCCTCCTGTACCATTTGCATCTATTGTCTAACCTCTGTTAGACTTAATGGAAGCCGACTCTGTACTTAACTGCGGCTGGCCTTTATATAGAGACCCTCTGCTAGTTAAAAGCCTCATCTCTACAGTTGCTATGGAAACTGTCCCCTTCCTCTCCCTACAATCCATTCTGGCTCCCTGCTCCATGTGCTACTCTTTACAATTGTAGTAGAAAAGGACTGCACATTTTCCCGTGTTGTTTTCCAGATTCAGGTCTGCAACTGGCGATGTGTGAAGAGGCACCCTACCATCTGATGTCCTGACAGTACTGTTTTCATGTCTCTGCCACAGAAAGGATTTTCACAGCTATGCCTAAAGATCTGCAGTATGAGCTGGCTGGTTAGCTATGTTTCCTGGTAGGGCCAGGATTTTTGTGAGGTACTTCACAATCAGAGCGTGGCTCACTGGCAGCCTTGTTGCATCAGGTATTATCACTCTTTTCTATGTTTGTGGGGAGTGGGATCTCACGTGTGTACACGCACAACTTGAGTGTTGTTTCTCAGACACCCCCTACTTTGTTTAATATAGCAGGGTCTCTCATTGACCCACAACTTCACCAGGAAGGCTAGGCTAGCTGGCCAGCAAGTTTGCAAGGAGCTGTCTGTCTCTGCCTCCCACCATCCCTGGGATTACGAGGGCACACTACTGTGCTTGGCCCTAGAGTTCTGAGAATCTCAACTCAGGTCCTCATGCTTGTGCAAGGGGAGGACTTTACCAACTGAACCGTCTCACCCACCCCTCTTGTCTTTTACCAAAAGTGCAAGGTAAACGGAAGAAAAAAACAAGTACTGAGGGAGCCTAGAGACAGGCCTTCTGTCTGGCACAACAGAATGAATCAGGAAAAGACAGGCTGCAGTGGTAGGGACGTTTTTGAGGAATGGAGGTGGTGTGGGGGAAAGGGAGAGATGGAGAGGGAAAGAGAGAATATTAATTCAGTCTGTACAATAATTGCACTCCTCCTAAGGTTATCCACTCTGTCACATCCCTAGTAGTTGGGAAGTTCTTTCCTGGGTTTTACTCAAATCCTCCTTACTGCAGTCTGAGCTCATTGCACTCAGCAGAGATGGAGACTAGCCAACTACTATCCTTGGAATAACAACTCACTAGGGACTCAGGACAGGAAGGTCATTCTGTCCCCTCCACTACTGCGCCGCCTGCCTGACCACGCCCAGAACTCGGGGCAAGGACAGGAAACCCAGGTTGGCTACCTGACGGGCAGCGAAGTGGGGGGTGAGGGTGGAATCCAGACAACGATAATACCCAGATAGAGACCACTATAGAAACTCCGAGACAGCAAGGGGCAAGATGGCTCCTTGAGGTTGGGGCGAGGCTGCGGAACTGCCACACACTGCTCATTTCAGACGCAGCCTAACTAGGTACTGTTCTGGCGCGGAGGCCGTGGACTCCGCCCTCTGTTGGGCTCCGCATAGCCCGTACCTCAGCTCAAGTCGGAGGGAGCAACTTGGTCTGGAAAACTGCAGGTGGATGACTGCGGGCGCCACCCCACCGCGGAGCCGAGCGCAGAGCCAGCCTGTATCCCCGCCCCGCCCTTGCGGCGCTTTGGCTCCGCCCCCAGACAGACAGCGACCAATGAGCTGCTCCTGCCGCCGGGCTTTAAGAACCACGCGCACTCTCCCCGCAGCGGACGCAGCCAGCCTAGCACTCCGCGGGAGTTTCCATGGCGACCGAGGCCCAGACCGCACGGCCTGGCAGTGTTGCCATGGAGACAACTCGGGAGCTGGGGCTCCGGAGCCCCGGCGCATCGCCGGCTCAGAACCCCGCGGAGGCACTGTGCAAAGCCGGTGCCGCGGTGGCGGCGGCGCGCTGGGATCTGCGGAAATACTCCTTGCTCATCGTGATCGGCGATATTGGTACAGAAAGTCAGCTGAGGGCCGTGCGGGCCCACCTTGAACAAGGTGAGCCGCTATCCTGGTTGTCCTGCAGCACTCCATCCGTACCTTTCCGCCATCTGCATTCATAATCCAGTGCACACTTCTGTAGTCTCCATTTCTATGTGCACTTCCCGAGACCTGTGCCCCTGTCATCTGCATGATCTCCACGCGCCTTTGTCCTCTCGAGCTGCCAACATCTTGTTTGCCCATCCTTCTCGCATACCCCAAGCTATTCCGCAGTCTCCTGCCCGGGGCAGACCCTGGAGTCCCTCTGGTCACACCCCTTTCCCGCAGTGTCTCAACAAGATGTAGGAAAGCCCTCACCAGACCCTGAAAAGTCCAAATCCCTACCTTACAGTTTCTTCTTAAGGGGAGCTTCCTGAACGCAGGGTACCCATCACGAACCTCTGAATCCTGGCAGTCAAGTTGAGGGAGGGACTGACCTTCGTGGCTCCTCAGTTGTGCCTGTGGCGCAGCGCTGCGGAGCCGCCTGCGGGAGAAAGCAAGCCTCTTAGGAGGGGTGGGGGTGAGGGGGCCATAGAAAGAGAAGCTAGAATCCAATTTAGCTAGAGGAATCATTATGAAAACTAGCAGTATGTGGGAAATAGACCCTTGGCTGTCACTTCTACCATAACTGGACAGCCTTGTAAAACAAAACAAAAACTACAAGCTCATCTCTTATTATTAAATTCAGTCTAAACCCTGCTCTTTGCCCTCTGGCTCCCACAAAGGGGAAAGAGGAGTTGAGAGATGCGCACAGGTACTTGCTATCCTCCTCGGAGGATAGCTCCTCCTCTTCCAGGAGCTTGACAGTGCTCTCTGCAGTCCTGACTTTGCCTAGAACCCTCTCTCTCTCTTTTCTTCCACAGGAATTCTCTCCTGGAACATTGACTTATCATCCTTTGACTTGAACCAACAGTTGAGACTCTTCATTACCCGGCACCTAGCTCACTTCTCCTCAGAGGTCAAAGGTTAGGACTAGGGTCATTTGTCTCAGTCCTTTGGGTGTGGGCTGGAAGAAGAGAAGTCCAGGAGCCAGGGCAGACCTGGCCTTGTGGGAGGTTTGGGCAGCAGAGAAGGGAGGGACTTTGTGGCTTCACAGCTATACCTACCTACCCAGTATACTCTTCAAACGCACGATGTCAGAGCATAATTTTTCCAAGGAGAGCATTGTTTGTAGACAGCAGCTGACAAGCGCTGCTAAGAAAGTGACCAGATCACTTGCAGGCAAAAACCCAGGCTTTTCTTCTGTGTTCCCTTTCTGCATACCTCAGCCTCCCTGTTCCCCTTTATAAACATTCCAGAACGCCTCACTTACCTTCCTAGTCCCCTGCTTCTCACAGCCCACCGTTCAGGATTGTTTGTTTCCTCTTCGCTTAGCCAGCAGATCTGCAGAGCAGAACAGAATGCTGCTAGCAAAGGCTAAGCAGGTTAACAACATCAGATCAAGGCTGGAATAAAAGTCTCCTGGATTTCTTGGGGGCTTGGTTCCGAGATCAGTTCTGCTGGGTGGCAGAAATAGTCTAGAAGTGTGAGATAGATTTTAGGAATTAGCATTCTATGACAGATGTCTACTGAGTACAGGAAGTCCTACATCCCTTGATAGAGGTGTTGGAGATCTGATCATATTATTGTTAATGTTGACACACCAATCCATGCAACTTTCTTTTTTAAAAAACAGGGCCTTACTATATAGTCCAAGATGACCTTGAGCTTGACATACAGTCTAGGATGGTATCACACTTGTTGTGCTGTCTCTACTTCCCGAGTGCTAGGACTGTAGGCATGCGCCACCAGACCTTCCATGTAGTTTTATAGTATGTGAATTCCATTTAGCTCAGTCGTCCTTGCCATCAAATAACAGAATTAGTACATCAATAATTCTCATCTGTCTAGTGCAGCAGACAGTTGACTCTTGCTGCTCCTCCAGACTGGTAGATCCTTGGTCATTTCCTTATTGATAGTTTTTCATGAGCTGCTGAGAAGTTGGAGAAAACTAGGTTAACATGACTAAAAACAAATGAAACGTGAGGCTGGAATCTTCCTGATGGGACTAGCAACACAGCCACTCGTTTTGAGAATGCCTTCCATTGAGAATCGCCCATGTTGGGACATCCTCCACTATTCCCAGTGACCAAAGACAAATTTACCACTTAACACTCCTAGAAACAAGTCTGAATAAAGGGTTGGCAGGGATTAAACTAATTACTGATGTTTGGGGTTATTTCCTATTAGGAATTCACAACAAATTCTCTAGCCTTGTCCTTTTGGCCAGAGACTTTGAGTAATGTAAGAAATGAACGGAACGTAAGACAACATCCTTAGCTGTTCTTCAGATTAAGATGCAGGGAATGCTTGGGAAATGGTTTGCAGGGAGATGCATCCTCAGGCACCTCTTGGAAACAAGCATTGGTGTAGAAATACCTACTGAATTCTTCAGAGTTTTGCTATGGTGTCCTCAAGAGGTTTGGGCCCACCCACCCAAGAACAGGGCTTACTTTTAACATACAGATTTTGTTTTAGGTTTAGACATTTTCATGGTGGTTTTTGTCCCTGGAGAACAGTGGAGAATTTCCTGGGGGAAAAAAAAACCCACAGAACTTAAGGCAGCCACAGCCCCACCCCTGCTGGCTTCTCTTTCAGCTGTCCCTGAAAAGTCTGCCCAAAGCAGCTGCAGGCACCGCCTTCTCCTTCAGCCTCCCTTGGTTGACTAGACTAAGGTAATCAGGAGCTGGGGTGAACTCAAGGAGATACACTAAATGCCTCATGGCTTGACCTTTTGTCCTACTCCATAGGGGAGACAACCGTTTCTTCACACTCTAGGCCAAAATCATGAAGGAACAAACTATATCTTACAGTGACAGGAAGAATGCAATTATTACCAGGGTTCAACCTCTCTACATTTACAATTCCGCGCCCCACCACATGCAGGAAAAAAAAAAAAAAAGGGACCCTCACATAGTCAGTGGCCCAGCTCCTTCTAGTGGTCAAGTCTGGTAAAACACTTTAAAGGGTAGTTTACATATCATGTGGTCTTCAGTAGAGATTTTGGGGGCCTTCCTTTACAGTTTCTACCCCCTACCCTAAAAATCCCTGAAGCTTCTAAGCATTTTTAACCCTTAGAAAAACGTAGGATAATTGAAAACTACCTTAAGGCCTGGGGTGCATGTTGGTGGTAGAGTGCCCACTAAACATGTACCTTGGCAGCAGAGTGCCCACCTAACATATAGCTTGGTGGTAGAGTGCTCACTTAACATGTACTTTGGCAGCAGAATGCCCATGTAGCATGCAGAAGGCCTGAAGCCACAGGGGATAGGGATAAGGAAGGAGATAAGGAATGGTGGGCCAACACACCGACACATCACTATTGAGTTTCAATAAAACTCTGATACCTCTACTGTTGAACTCCTATAAGAAAGGGAGGATTGATAATCTAAGACTTGAAGACTACAGGCTAGCTTGGTGTGGTGGTGCAGCCCTGTAATCCCAACACTGGGGAGGTAGAGGCAGAGGATCATCTTGACTACATATCGAGTCCATGTCCCGTCTGGGCTGCTTGAGACTCCAGAGAGCTGGACAGAGGTGAGAGGGTGGAGAAGGGAAGGCTGAAGAACCCCTTTGAGCCTTTCTGTCTGACTCTGTTTCCATCTGTGCGTTCAGAGGATCCTGAAGTAGAGGTTTTCATTGTTAGCTGAAATCGGAAGGCAGAGAGAGATATGAATAGAAGCCAAGCCTCATTCTGTAAGCATCTCCAGTTTGGGCTCTGCCTGAGATTTACCCCAGTTTACCTAGTTTACCCTATACTAATCTTGTCTGGGATTCTGGTTTAGGATCTGAAATCTTCTACAAAGACAGAAATACTCAGTCATGTTTGTGCATCTCAAGGTTGAGAGGAAAAGGATCTTTGTCAGGCGATGCAGTCCTCACAACATGGCTGAAGGATGATGCTAGTATACTCATTTGCTAGTCGAGAAAGCAAACTCTGAGACTGTTTAACTGACTCCATTGGTGGTGTGATTCAGAGTGGCATCAGGTATGAAATCAGGGGATGCTCAAACCTCTCTCTCACCATTTCACTGCAGGAGAGAGGGTTAAGGGTTAAGGGTTCACTGTCACAAGTGGCTGCTTAGAGATGGGGAGAGGAGGAAAACCAACTGTGACTTGGAACTGTGTCCAAGGTGCGGTGTAGAGGTATGTGGCTTCGAACAGAGGTGGACTCTGCTTTCAGTTGGGAAGTGTCAATTTGTTCCCAAGTCCAATGTCTACTAAAGTGCCCCCTAAGACTGAGAGAGCCCTAAAAATCAGAGAGAAGACAGGAGGTTGGAGGCAGGATGAAATAAGAGCAATGAAATTGAGAAGGCGGTGGGTACTACTCCATGTTGCTCAGGACTGAGCTTGGTTTATACAGCGTGTGTCTGTCTACACAGATGGCCTCTCCTATCCAAATGGGGATATGGTCATGTTGCTGCTTTGCATTCCGGATCTGAGCAAGGGTTCTTCTCCTTCTGTTCCCCAGTTCCCCAGAGGACCAGTGACTCAGCTACTCCTCTCCTGTGGCTGAAGCTAAAGGGGGTGGGGGTTGCTGAGAGCAAAGACTATTTTGGCTTTTCTGACCTTCAAAAGCAGTCCTTGGCAGCCTGGAGCAAGGGTGGGGCTGGGGCTGGCCAGTGAGTGGGCGGAAGGAGCTGACCACACCCAGGGAGGGCTAATGAAGAGAGGGCAGGGATTTAAGAGTAAGACCATCACAGTGATGGGCAAAATAAGTGTTTGCTCCGACACTCCAGATCTTTCCTTTGAATCCCAGAGCACTTAGCTGAGTCTGAGGCAGAGGCTGAGACTAAGGGCACAAGGTCAACATAAGAAGGTTCAAGATCAAGAAAGACAGACACAGCGAAGCAACAGAGATAGGGAACAGAGACTAGGAGGAATCTGGACCCAAACACCTTACAAAGAGTAGCTTATATTGAACTTGTCTATAGCAAGAAAAGCTTTGACTGACCCTGGGCTCCGGGTGATGCTCCTTGGTCCTTCACTGAAAGGCAGAAGCCTCCCTTACCCTTCAGAGACAGCCTCCTGACAGCCAGGACTCAGAAACCTGCTTGTGTGGGTGCTTGAAGCCATGCTGCTTTAGCAGGGACCTGCATGCAGCTCCCAGGGTCCCTGTGCCCCACCCCAATGGGCTGGGGACTGTGTCTGCTCCAGAATCTCACACTAGCCTCCAATCCTCCCCAGTTTTCTGTTGATGTGGTGAGAACAGTGTCCAGCTTATGCAGGGTCCAATTTACCACATCACTCACCACCCCCACACTGCTTCCCCTCCACTTACGGCCCCCCAGCCTCTGTCTCCTGCTCTTGCAGTGACTGAAGGTCACTCTCTGGGCCCATCTGAGGGGAGAGGCAGCAGATGGTTTCTAAGAGGAAGGGGGAGGGCCCATGTGGCCCTTGCCTCCTACAGCTGGCTCTGTACCCCAGTGCGTGAGGCTCTGGTCCTTTGGTTGATGCTGAGAGAGTATTTCTTAACCAAACAGGATTTGGGGAGAAGGTACTCAGAGCCGAAGGAGAGACCTATCTGGCTCTTTGAACTGCTAGACAACACCTTGGATCCCTCCCCCTTCCCCGTAGCCAAGCAGAAGCACCAGGAACTCTGACACTGTAAAGGCTAAGAAACAGTTAAGTCTCCAGTGCCTCGTCACAGACCAGCCCCTCTTCCCCGCCCTGGCACCGCCCTCCCCGGCAAGCAGCCCCCCCTCACTCCCACCCCAAGTGCCGCAGACTCTTCCCTGAAGCCACCCGGCTAAGGCCGGAGCTGATGCCTCCATGAGGGGCTCCCTCCCACACCCCAGGGTAAGAGCCTTACGCAGCATGGCAGAGGGATGGGGGTGCTGCGATAGGGACTCAGGATGGGGAGCAGCTGATACCTTGTAAATCTGCTGCATCTGGACCTGGGGGGCTTGGTGGGGAGACTGCTTGAGATGGAGAGAGGAGGTGACCATTACTGACTGGGTTTCAGCTGGATCCAGAGCCTGTGGAACCAACAGAGGCTGTGACAGTCCACCTCTGTACTAGGTGGGGGTGGGGACCATCAGCTGAGAGGCAGCAACAGAGGGTGGTGCCACAGGCTTTGCCTGGCAGCCAGGGCACAGGAGGAATTTGGGGGCTGTTATGGAATGTACCTACTGGGAGGGTTCTTGGGTTATCAGCTACTAGACTGGTCCTATTCTGGGGTGAGTGGGGCAGCCGAGCTTTTGCCAAGTAAGGGAGGGTGGGTAACACGCTGGAAGAGAGGGAGGAATGGGTCACTAAGACGTGGCATGCGCCTCCTCACAGGCTAACTGGTTTGTTTTGGCTCCCCTCACCCCATTCCCTGTGGCGAGTTTGAGTGAGCCCGGGGCTTTAAGCCCCCGTTTGCGGCCTCTCTGAGGCCACTCGGGAGCTTGAGAGCCCTGGCTCCTCTGCAGCTGCCTTGCATTCCGGGTCCTGTCAACCCCATGGGTTCCCTGTCTCGGTCCCACCCTCACCACATCTGTGCTTTTCTTCCCAAGATGGGGGCTCTCCAACAGAGAAGCCAGTCTCTTCTCCCTGTCTGTGTGCACCCCATCCCCACCCCACCCCCCCATGCAGAGGCAGCCAAGAAAATGACTTGTCATGCTGGGGTGGGGGGTGGGGGCGGAGCTGGAGGCTGAGCTCAGCGCGCACACTCACACACTGCGGCAAACTGCAGCTGCCTGAGCACCCCCTTCTGCCTCACTGCAGAGACACCTGCCCTCCTGCCCACTCAGCTTCACACCGAAGCCCACCCTCGACCCTAGTGCTGGTCACGAGAAGTGCCCCAGCCTCTCAAGATGGTCCTCTGCAAAGAAAAAAACAAACAAACAAAAAAAAGAACAAAAAAAAAACAAGGCAGTCCCCTTGATCGGCAGAGCCGGGGAACAGAAAAGAGAAACACGGCTGTCCCCTAGGCCGGACGGGGATTCGGGGATTTGGGACATAATGGACTTGCTCCCCAGGGCTAGGGCTGAGGTCTTGTGTCAGAACAGGAAGGGGTCAGAGGTCTAGTGAGGATACACTGGGGACCACGGAGCTGCTGCTGGAGTGGAGATGTAGCTGGAGAGGAAATCTCTTTCTGTTCCATCTAGATTGAAAGTGTGACCTTGTTTGTGTTGGGGGAGTCCTGGCTTTCCTAAATCTGAACTACTTAAGACTGGCAAAGGATGTTGACACCCTAGCTGCTTAAGCCCTGCCCCTGCCTGCCTCTCAGGTAGTGCTCATCATTGGAAGTGACCTCAAGTTCATAGAAAAGGACCCTTGAACTCCTTGGGCCCAATATGCCTGGTTTAGGATTTGAGTCTCCAACACCCTCGTCTGCCCCCGCCTCTGCCCCCGCCCCCATGCATTGCAGCCCTCTGCTGCCTAGGTCTGCTTGATCCTTGGCATCAGGCTCTTCCTCTTAACAAAAGCCCTGGCCCCAGTCACCCTTGTCCCC